ATTTATTTATTTTGATTTTCCCGCGAGTGGTCTATCATAAACTAGACCGTTAGTAGAGTAGCCAATCACAGCGCAGTATGAGTGATAGACCATTAGTATGTTTATATTAATAGTGTATAGGGATGAATTTAACTATAAGAGTTGAGAAGAAGTTATAGGAGGGGTCATTTTAGGGGATTCGACTTTCCACAGACACAAGAATGTTTTGTTCATCTGGGGCCGGTTGCACGAAGAGTGCTAACATTAGGTTAAAGTAATTCGCTCTTTAGATTAGAATTTATCCGGTGACCTAGGGCTATTCAGACTTCGTACATAACGTTTTCCCCCTAAATTTTTTTTCGACAAATGTGTCCGAGTGATGGCTCGTACTGAACTAGTAATGCTGGAAAAACTTGCTATCTGATTTCCACAGCGTGCCAGGACAAATACGCAACGTGTGTCAAGTGGTCAAGAGAAGGTGAATGCCAGAAGAACAAGAATTGGATGTCGAAACACTGCGGGAGGAGCTGCAAGATATGCCCTGGTGAGTGTGCTACCTGACAATGTTATGGGATGTTTCCCATTCAAAGATCTGTATGAAATCTTTTGGCGAGTCTTTATAGTGGGGAAGAGCCTATCTTACCATTGGCTTTCATAAATATGAATGATCAATTTATTTTGAGAGGATATCCTCACATTACAAGCCTTATATTATGACTGGAATTTGCCATGAGTATTTGAATTTTCAGTCAGTTTTCTCTATGAATATGCATTATCTAAAGAGTGATAATGGTTATTTTATTATAGTGACAGTGAATTGTAAAGATTTGAAGTCGAGAGTTCAATGTCTAGTATGGGCTGAGAAAGGGCATTGCAAAAAAAGCAAAGTTTGGATGTACAAGAACTGCCCAAAAAGCTGCGGGAGATGTTTAGGTTTGTGTCATACAAAATATATCATTTGATTATCAGCCATCACGACTTTAGTTAAAAAAGAAAACAAACAAACACAAAATAATCGTTTCTTTTCTGTTCTCCAGCTGCTGAGTGTAAAGATTCAAACAAACTTTGTTCATTCTGGGCAAAGATAGGAGAGTGCAGTAAAAACAAGCCCTACATGCATAAACATTGTCAAAAAAGCTGCGGCATATGCAAAGGTAAATCAAAATAGAATGAGCTCAATGCTAACATGTTTTGCTCTTGATCGTAAGCGCGGTTACAATAAAATAGCCGCTATAATCTTGAACAACAATAATATTAAGAATTGATGCATTTTTCCAACGCGCTCTCAAACCGCTCCTCTCCCCTGAATTAGTGCTGTTTACACCCAAAAAGTATCTAGCATGTGTATGTGAGGAGTGCGGAGACTTGACAATATTCATCGATTTTAAATACAAAATACAGATTTTGTACACGATTGCACAATTTTAGTTATTTTATTTTATATTGTTTTTTTATTTTATTTTTGCTATAGAACAGTAGCTCGCGCTGTTATATATAGTCTTTGCGAAGTCTGTGCATAGTCTGTGCGTTTTGCTTGTATTTGCTGTGATCATTTTTCGCAATATATATTGTACCCCTTCACGGGTCAGTGATGAGCCCTTATACGTTGGCATATGTTGGTAAATGAAGGGGAAAAAAGAAATTTACGATTTTTATAATAAATTTACAAACATAGGATTTTGATCAATGATTAACAGCTGTGTTTGAATCATTTATGAAAATATTTATTAAAATATGCGCAGAGTTCAATACATTGACCAGTGATTCATATGAACAAGCACTGCAGATTCCCCTGTCTAAAGATGACAGCATGTCAGTGCAGCATAAGGTTTGTTGCTATTGATCTAATATTACTCCGTCTTAATTCATAGCTTCTCAGTGTGATGATTCTGCCTCTGTAAAGCAAAATTGTCCACAGTGGGCCAAGAAAGGAGAGTGTAATAAAAATAAGGTCTGGATGTATACAAATTGCCCAATGAGCTGCAACATATGTTAAGGTAAATTCTCTGCCACTCACAATGTGTAGTAACTTAACATATTATTAACTTTATAGTGATTTTTATTTTCTTAAAAGTCATTAGCCAAACATGACAAGATCTCTATTAAGCAGTCTTCACAAATTGGTTTGGTGTCATGCGCGCAAAAACTTCCATCTAAATTAAAAAAACACCATCATTTCAAACTAGTCAGAAAGAAGCTTTCGACCGCATTTTTAATAAAAGACGATTGCAAAGGGTGTTGGATGCACGTGGGCCTTTAACGACGTTTTTTTGTTAATTAATCATAGCAACATAGAATTCTAACGTCTTACTTATTTTTTAAAAAGTGTTCAAAACAATTAAAGAAAAACAAAAATAAACAAACAATACTGAACAACACGAAAACATCGATCTCTCGATTTTTCGCAATTAGGAAGGCAAAATAAAAGCAACTATGGGGGCGAGTATTTAAATCAAATTTTTATTGCCAAATTATAACTAACGGACATACCAAAATGTGTAACATGTAATTGGAATAATTCAGCTATTATAATACGTTTTTATAAAAAAAACTTAACGAGGAAGCGCGGGTTGCCTTTTTCTGTTCCTCGTAAATGCACAACTCTGCCACTTAAATTTAGATTTGATCATACCTACTTTAAGACATAGATGCTTTTATAAGAGTAGAAATTTGTCATACAAAGACCTGTCATTCCCTAATTCCAATTGTTCTTCTTTTTTACAGATTCCAATTTCCTTTTTTTTTTCAGTCTAAAATATCTAAATATCTAAAAATCCGGCACAAATTCCAAAGGATATAATATGGTGGCTGGCTTGATGTTATTATCTTGCATCTATTTAATCACAGAGGACTCCGTCAAAGAGATTTAAATGAAATAAATTACAGTGATATTGTTACAAATTAGTTACTTGTATTATTTTTGCATTAAAGTAATCGCACTTAATCCCTGCAACTGTACAAACTAAATAGTTCTATTTAGTTCTATTTAGTAAATCGTGCATGCGGTACTCAAATTAAATTGAATTGATATAAATGAAGCATTCAATACTGTCTCACTTCAGGTCCACTTTTAGTACAAATTAGTACTTCTTTAATTTTGTACAGTTGCACGCTTTACGTGCGATCACTCTAATGACCAAATTAGTACGAAAAATAGAGTGGTTCTCATTAACCCGTGAAACAAAGTGTAATAGTCAAAGTGTAATAAAGTGTAATAGCCGAGAAATATAATAGAAAACAAAAGAGACAAAGCGTAATAAAGTGTAATATGCTAAAGTGTATTTCACGTGTTAATGAAAACCACTCTAGTTCCAGTTGAACAAAAGGAAACAAAATAACTTGCATAAAATAGTACCAAATCGTATTACGCTTTTACCTAAGCACTCTAGCCGAATCTGCACCACTTATCACAACCACATTACACAGGGGACTTTTGCTTTCTCCTGTGTAATGCACGCAAACTCTACAACATTATTTGGAGAAATTTCACTACAACAGATAAAATCTAAGCTTGGGCAAAGACACAATTTGTTACCACTTAATTATATCATTTTGACTTAACGTAAATTTTAGCTATGTTTCAGTACCTTTACAATGTATTTCAGCGGTAACGTTTTATTTCACAACGCCGCATTAAGGTTTGATTCTTTGGGACTCCTTTWTTGTCCCGAGTCCCTGGTCACGAGTTTACGTTTCTGTTGCGTACATGTTTGAATAATCCAGCGTCCCTAGAAACACCATTTTTCCGCATATGGACTCGAAGTCAAGTACGGGTTAATCTTAAGTTTTGGCTCCAGACTAATAACGGTCACCGATTAGATTGCAACAGAAACGTTGAAGAACTGAGCGTTGCTTATCAGTTCTCGAAGCAAAATGATTTACCGATTATTTTTGGCATTAGCTCTGTTTGTTTRCTGTAAAATGTCAACTTTTTCGGCCAAACCAGTCAAAAGAACGGAAGAATCTTGCTTAGAGCAAGATTTTTTGCTTCCGGTTTATAGTGTTTCCCAGAACCTACGACAGGCTGTGAGAGTAGGGTCTGGGTACGAATGCGGTACCGAGCTTTTTCTAAGTTTCTTTCTTATCGCAACACAAAAGGTAATATTGAAGCACTGCGTAAAGGTTTGATTCTTTGGGACTCCTTTTTTGTCCCGAGTCCCTGGTCACGAGTTTACATTTCTGTTGCGTGATTGTTTGAATAATCCAGCGTCCCTTGACACACCATGCAGTCTTCCGCCTGGACTCGAAGTTAAGTACGGGTCAATCTTAAGTTTTGGCTCCACACTAATAACGGTCACCGTTTAGATTGCAACAGAAACGTTGAAGAACTGAGCATTGATTATCTGTTTTCGAGGCAAAATGATTTACCGATTATTTTTGGTCGCATTAGCTCTGTTTGTTTGCTGTAAAATGTCAACTTTTGCAAACCCAATCATTAGAACAAAAGGTGAGTTTATGGCTCAATGAAAAACGCTTATGTTTACMGGCAGATTTAATACRGATAACTTTCTGACACAGCGTCCGAAGTGGAAACTCTCGCAACTTTTTAATGAAACTTCATTTATCATAACGTAGAGATTTGATAGACCGCTTATAGACTTAAATACATAAAAGCAAAAGCTCCACTGTACCCTGGTTCCAGAGGCTTGTCTTTTATTCTTTTGTTTACTATTTTATCGAGCCGCGAAGCGGCGAGACGTTACCGTTATAATCCGTTTGTGTTTTGGGTTTTTTTTTTTTCGATTAACGGAAAGGTCTCTCCGGCTCGATAACATAGTAAACAAAGAAATCAAAGACWAGCCTCTGGAACCAGGGTAGCTTGATTGTCAAATCTATTCAGTCTCGCTGGTCGGTAGACTCATTATGGTAGCTGTCATCTGTGTCACGCGCTACATGCTTTTTAAACTTAAAAGAAAGAGTAAAATGTCAATGCATCAATACATTAATTATCAACATAATATGAATGAACTACGGAACAGCTTACACGTCGAGCTTCACATGTGCCGAATTCAATTATATTTTCTACAGTTTTGAATGAAAGCCAAAAATATTCCATTGCTTATTTGGTACTGTTTGTGTTTCTGTTGTTTATTTGTTTGTTTTTGTTGTTTTCTCTTTCTGAATGTTACATTAATTTAACTCGTTACATGAAATAGTAATAATAGTTAGAGCAGACCAAATTTTCATTGATTTTTTTTGTATGACTGCACGGTTCAATGCATGGTGTAGCGTCCATAACACAAATGGGCACGTGGGTACTTGGGGTGTGTAGTCACGTCCGCTCTTTTTTCTACTCTTGAGGTTCCTGTATTCTTGGTTTGCAGGTTACGTCACAGTGGCCATCTTGGAGGAACTTCAACAAAGGATTTCTCATTAGTATCTATTGTTCATTCCTCCAACATGGCCGCCGGTCTTTTATCTTTTGAATCTCATGGGAATGGGTGAAAACGATCAATTCCTGTTTTATAATGACGGTAGTGTGAACTATACTCCAAATAAAGATATTGAAATTTGAAAACCCGCTAGTACGCAATAGTTTAGTTTTAGTTACATTTGCTTACTCGAAATTCGAAATCACGAGTATTGTGTAACGAAATATCACTAATTAAAATAATTAGAATATTGAAATTGAAATAAAGAGTTTACAACTACAATCAGGGATTTCTTGTTTTTGAAACAAAGCATGCAAGTACCGAGAGTGACGTCATGACGTCTTTGYCGAAAAATATTGGAAAAGGAAGCCCGAAACTATACGATTTTTAGTCCATTTGGGAAAAAAAGCATCCTTTGAAAAAATTTTCGAATTCAAWCCTTTAGCTACTCTATTTTTGTGTTAAAACGAAAATTACTCAAGCCAAATATGCACTAAAAGACTCTTTATCGTCTACAGGGGAAGCTCCTGACATAGAGGAAATTGCGAACAGAGGTAAGAACACACCCTGAAAGATTATGATTCTGCAGCAGAAAAAAATATAGGTTAACATAAATTGAAGATTGACGATTACTTTAAAGAGTCGCTGCATTTCCTTTATGCATTTGATTCGGAATAATTAAAATGAGACGAGGGCTCCGCGAAAGAAAAAACGAAAAGAAAAAGAAAAGAAACAAACACTTAAATAAGTACTGTAGGTTCACGTGGTGAATATCTAAGAGTATAATTAAGATTGATAATGATGATGATGATGAAGATGTTTTGAGAATATTGAGATGCAAAGTAATTCTACWAAGTGAAAGTAGATTTTTTTGTTGYTGTCACGTGATTAGAGTACGACACAGTTCATGGTAGAATCTTAGCTGTCAACATGGCTACTTTGAGGAAAAGAAGGCTGCAAGGAACACCAGAAAATCCATTTGAAAGAATCGAAAACATCGATGAAGGTAAGTAATCTTTATTAGAACATCTTTCTTTTATTGTTTGATGATTAATCTAATGTGTAATGTAATTTCTGATGTTACTAGACGCTCTAAGAGCGTGAAGTCGGGCACGCTAGTAGAGCACAAATACGTAGTCGACTGTGTACATATTGCCCATTAGCCATAACGTGACCAAGTGACTTTGGACTACCAAACTTAGGGAGAGGTAGCACTGCGTCCGAGTCATTATTTGCATATGTTACACTATTTTGTTATTTAGAATTGTACATACAATGTAGTTTTCTGAACAAACATCCGCTTATCGATCGTTTATATTTGTTTCTCTAGTTAGAACTTTATCGCTTTTTTGAAGCAAACATGATGTAAAATGAGAAATATCAATAGCAACGTATCCTACTAAATCGGTGCTGGTTTTTGGTCAACCGTACTAGAAATCACGAAAGATCTCATTCAGTAAATCGATGTCTTGGATTGTTGAAATAGAGTCTGTCCTGCAAAGTAAAGTGTTCAATCTTGAAAGCAATTAAGTTCGGAATTGTCATTTTGTAACGCAACTAAACTTTAATAAAGTTCAAAAATTCTATTTTTCTATTAAAGTATTTATGAAAACAGGTGTACTTGCTATTCTACAGATGATGATCTTAACCTATACCAGGGTGATATCCAACTGGATGAAGATTCAGAAGAACTCCTTCACATGCCGAACAGGACTATTTCAAAACGAAATGGCATAAGTAGAAAAGCTCATCTTTGGACATCGAGAAGAATTCCTTATTTGGTGCCTGGACACATGGGTAGGCTTCATAAAGAGAAATATATTGCGTTTGGACTGCCTTGACTGTGCGCCACGTATGATGAATTTCAACAGAATGAAAGGAGGGGATTGAAATGTGTTGCACGTAACCAGTAGTGAGATGCATTGTCTCTCAGTAAAATGGTCTTATGAGTAAATAACATCGAATGATAACTTTGTTACAATAATATTTCGTTTCATTTTTTGTAGCTCATATCAAAGGAAAACTTTTGACTGCATTTAGCCATTTCCACAAGCACACTTGTATTCGTTTTGTCCCATATCAACCAGGACGTCACAAGAACTACATCATGTTTGACGATAAAAAAGGGTATCTATATTTGATTGCTGGCTGGCTGGCTGGCTGGCTGGCTGGCTGGCTGGCTGGCTGGCTGGCTGGCTGGCTTCTAAAAGCTCACCCGATGTATATGTTCATCTTCCTATAATAACTCCATTGTAGAGTTCTATGATCTCTCTATTTCTAATCTACTTCTAATTCTACTTTGTTGTTGCTCTTAACGAAGAAAATTAGCCAATCATCAGGCACTGAGAGGCATGGCTTATACKATAGAGCAAGTTTCCTGTCTTCAAACAAACTTGCTACTAAACTAGTAGAGTCAACAGGCAAGACGCGATTTTGACATGATTTTGACGAAGTACATCGTTTATTGTTTTGATAATGATAATAATAAATTTCATAAGGACAGAAAATGAGCTAATAGATCCCAACGTCCACGTTGGGCTTTGAACACATCATGACTAGACCCGTTAATTCTATAATTAGACTTTAACTTATTTTTTAGAACGGTATGTGATTGGCAAGATCGTAGGAGATAATTCTAATTCTACTCTGTTTGATTCTGATTTCTGGACATCTCTTTTTCTCATAAAAGTTATCGGTTTTCCTCATTGCGTGCGTATGCCAAAAACATAAAGTTGGCACCAAATCTGCCATGGACAAGCACTAGTGCGTGGATTGGTAATAAGCTAAAATAAGTTATTTCTAAAAATTGCACACAAAAAAGCTATTGTTGAGATTTTTCTTATTTAGCCTTGATTATTTTACCCAATACCTTATTTAGGTGCTCCTCTGCGATTGGCAGAGCATACCATATTACTGGTGCTCAACGTTTATCTCTTGGTAGTGGATGTCAATTTGTAGGCACTATAATACATGAGCTACTACATGCAGTAGGTAAGTCAATAGAATTCCTTGAAAATTTTCAATTAACGGTGAACCGCTTCGCTTTAATAAAAAGTTCCGGGGACTCCTGTAGATCTTTGTTCAAAACGTGAAACCAATGTGTGCATAGCTATATATAACTACTTTTTTTCTCGACTAAATTTTCTTGATTCCTTTTTCTCTGCACCATTTCAGGATTTTGGCATGAGCAGGCTCGGCCAGACCGGGACAAGTACGTCAAGATATATTGGGAAAACATAAGTAAAGGTATATGACATAAAATCCTTCAGAGCTGAGGGAAGGGAATGTGGTGATTTGCAAAGAGTATTGACATGCACATAAATTGAACATTATAAGGCGTTAAATAACTTATTTTTGGCAAAGAAAATATATTGCGGTAAAATTTACTCCTCACAATACGTAATATAGCGGCTTTTTATTTCTTAATGTTGGAGGAATTATGTTTTAATCAGGAAACGCAGATCAGTTTACCAAGATTACGTCCGTGGATACGTTGGGTACATCCTATGACTACGATTCTATTATGCATTATGATAGAACGGCATTTTCCAAAAATGGCAAGCCAACTATTGTGGCCATTGGTGATGAAAAACGCAAATTTGGATCCAGGCTATTGAGTACTAAGGACATCATTGAGATAAATGCTTTGTATGATTGTAAAGGTAAGTCCGTTTAAA